GATGTTGGAGTGTAATACATGAAGTTTTGTCACAGAGGATCAAGTCAATGATGTTTTTATTTCGTTGATAACAGTATCAGGAAAATTATATGTAGCCAGAAGACAACCTGTCATTTCCTTAGATGTCGTGGTTATCACTTATCAGCTTTCTGTCAGGTAAAACAGTAGTTGGCCAGGTTTTAGTTACCAAAGTTAGTATCGGCCATTCAATGTATGCCAGGTCATGGAGCGATGTTATTTTGCTTAGGAGAGATAGGGCATTTAGAAGCATAACTGTCAGAAAACCAGAGTTGTTAGGGGGAAACAATTATTAAGTTTTATCGGCACTGACCGTAACTCATGTCTCTCTTGTGTTTGAATGGGATCTGAGGGGAGACATATACAGCGTGCTATTTCCTGAGTGAATTGTACTGGGAGAGGGGGAACTGTTTGTTGTGATCAGAAATATTCTTTCTGCACATGTAGATTTTTACCATCGGTAGGTGGGCATCTGGGATCATTTCTTGGTATTATACAGTCTCTTTTGGTGTCCATGCTGTGAATTACAAGGTATTACTACCCTAAAGGTTACCCATTACCATGAAGCCCATCGCAAGAGTTGTACTAATAGTGCATTCACTAACGTTTTCCTTCCAGCTGGCTTTTTCGTAGGGTCCCCACCATCCCACTAGTACGCAAGTGATCTGTAGTGGTAAATCGAATCGTTAAGACGAAGGCTCATGGTGAAGCATGATCGTCACTTAGCACCCCATCATGTTACGTTCGCTCGCTTGTGCACTGTTCCTAGCCAGCTAAGCAATGATCGCCGCACTGCCACTTTGGTCCTGAAATATGTTTCATGTTTTGGGCGATTGATTTTTGGTTTTCTTTGGTCTGCGCAGGACAAATACTACGAGTATTGTGGGCATAAGAACTTGTGCTGTTTATATCACACTCTACACAAACGTCAACACATCCTCATCTACTAGAATATTATAGCCAGTGAAGCACTTCGAAGTATTTTACAAGATCGATTATTCTTGGCACATACACTGTAATAATGTTTTAAATGAATAAAGTCCCATGAAGTCCGCTACTTGGCTGGTTCTCAAGTCCATGTAAATTCGGTTTTCTCCAACAACCCTATCAGGGAATAGGTATTCATCTGCTTGGCTCAAAGGGGAATACTGAGGTTCAGGATCAAATCACCTACTATATCTCATCTCTGCACCCCTTTTTAGCAGGCTTCATAATTGCTGTAAACCTGCTTATCTCAGCAACATGACCTCCCTCATGTCAGAACCATGCCTAACCAGCTAATTCCTATTCGGTTTTCACTGTACGTTAAGACTATTTCTCTCTGCATATTTCTTGGGTGGTCAGCTCATGATTGGTTCGTCATCAGTGTTCTTAACCTGTCTATTGTATTTGACCATCTGATCTTCAGGATGCAGGCAGTGAGAACAACTGTTGAAAATGCTTCTTGTGAAGCCACATAACTCTGAATTACATAAAAGCACTGGCCCGACATTAGTACTGAAGACCCTGGGCTTATTACTGTACTGAGTGCAGTAGACCTCCATATTGATTTCTTCGGAAACGCCTAACTTCAATAACCTCATTTTTGGCTAGAGTTGGAGCGATGTTATTGCGATGGCGAAACAGACGATATAATTTAAATTTCCCTCTATGATGGTAACCACCGATTGCTGTTGTCATTCAGGAATATTCATATCCTCTCTATTCTCTATCTTTACTTGAAGTCTATAAATCTCTTCCTATTCGTTAAACTTGATTGTTTTCTCAGTTTTATATGACATGTGTAAATCATGTGTTTTCGATGGCCCAACCTATATCCGTATTCACGCTCCACACAATTTGTGGCACGATTCAGTCCACCGCAGTCATGAATATCATCGGTGGTGGTAGGCAATCTTGTCTTACTCCTGTCTTCAATTTAAACGCCTAACTGGGTTCCGCTCTGTGAATAGCTTGGCACGCGCTACAATCATGTCACTGTTGAAGGGGTATTATGACTAGATGGTTTACCTCACTCCGTATTGTTGAGGCAGGGGTGAAGTCACTGCATGGCCAACGCTTTCAAACGCCATTCAGTAGTAGATGAAGTTATGTTAAGCACTGATGCCGGATAACTTTGGAATTTGACCCACAAATAGCTTGATTTAAATTAATGTGGCCTGTCCCAGGTGGAGTCTGCCACTCAGATAGTCTGTAACTGTTTGCATGTTAAAAGGACTTCATATTTGGCTTGACGTGCGTGGGCATTTAAATCCATGCTAGCACTTGCAAAAGCTTTCGTTAGTCTGTGTGTCTACCAGGTTTTATTTTTGGACTAGTTGCAGGTGATCAAAGATCCAGGATTCTCTCATACCGATCGTCCGAGCGTTTCTCTATTCCACGTTTTAGGTAAATGAGTTTCGCTCGACTTCCTCTGCTATTTTCATCTGCATCGACCAATTCCAGGATAGTGACCTGATCTTTAGATACAGTGTTCTGAGCTACTTATTACCTGCAGCCTGTTCTGTTGTAAATCATGATTCTTTCTGAATGCGTCTTTGAGCCTCTTGTTTTAATCTTCTTCACTCCTTCAATAAGTGCTGTAGAGGATGTAGTCAACTGCTGCTTTTTCCGTTCATTTCTGCACTCATTTACTTTCTGCCTCACACCTCTTCTATCCTCCAGCGCTACACAGGAAACTATGGAGAGTACTTTCTTGTCTTGACACTACTTCCTCGCCAAGATATTTCTACAGGGTCATTTTCTCTAACGATTTAGACAAATCCAAAGTCCATTCACGCAGGTACTTTCATTGTTTTTACATACTGTCCCTAATGGCCACTGTGAATTTACTGCCCGTAGACTTGTCTTACAGCTTCTAGGTGGTCTAACTCATGCTAATGTGAAGGCTTTAGACTTGATTTGTCCCGCTTTTCGACTCAGTGTTCATCAGACTGCGTGGGCACTTTTTTGAGTTTGAGGCAAAGTCAATCTGTTGAAACATGTAGCTTTGAGGATATCCCTGCTTTGTACATGCCGTCCCTTAAAAAGAAATCATTGAAGACGCAGGAATCTTCCGTTGAATATTCCTTTCATTATCCTGCGGGAGACTGGTTCCAAAGGAATGTAGGTCGTCGATGCATTTGGTTACAAAGATTGTCAAAGCCTCAGTGTTCTGGTGGCTATCATGTGGCTGATCTGAGCAGATCACTGTCTCTCCAGTTAGCAGTTTGAGGATCCCAGCAAATTTACATCCGCTAAGCAGATTTCAGCATTTTGATAGCGTAATATTTATTACTCCTAAGATCCGAAATGTCATGCTAGCTCCAAACGTAGGGTGGACATTTAATATTCCTGAGCTTACTCCTTTTTCCCGAAGGAAAGAATATTTGTTATCGGTCTTCTAATAGACTTTTAACCCACCGGCATTGTGTTACCTCAAAATGAGCATTCTGTCCGATCATATAGAAGAATGATTTCATTTTTTGTTTGCCTCGATGTTTTAGTAGCGATGGTGTTTGCTCTACAGATTTAGGCATCTAGTCCTCTGCAAAACCTTCGCAAATCTTTGGCGTTATGCCTAGCTAGGAAAATAAGAGAGGTTAGTGTTTCAGTTATCACATATCTGCGTTTCAAATGGCCTGATTGGGGCAATTCAAGTAGTTTTTATAAGTCTCGTTAAAGTAGCTGAATAGCTGTACATCACATCCTTTAGCTAACTTCATCTACTACTAGTAGATTCGTTAATGTTACACAAATCAAGAACAACATCATAGAATAAGGCATAGTTTTGTTCAAAAACGATGTTTTGCGCGAAAACCACCACTTTTTTATCTTATAGTTCAGCAGTGCTTGTTAACACCACTAGTCTTTTTGACAGCTTGCTATATGGAGAAGCATAGTAAGCTAATCGGTAGCTATTCATCAGGACTCCATTGCGACTTCATTTCAATTAGTCAGTTCCGACTGCAATGCTGTAAAAGTGCATCCTGCATAAGCTTGGTTAATTTCTTGTTCCATTTTAGAATGCGAACAACTTGAGATGATTTATGCACTCATGCACGATGCATTCCACCTCAGTGAACATTTGAAATGAAGACAGTTATAAGACAGACCAACGAAAGGACTAGAAGTTTCAGAAATGCTGATGTAAATTGGAATGATTCTTATATAGCAGAAACCATCACCGTGCTGGGATAAAGTTTACAGGACTACCTTCTCAAATAGTGACCAACCCATCTGCAGAATCTTTTGAGAACCACGATGCATATACACGCATTTTCAACATGAAGATCATTCGAAAACATCAAAATACGTTATGTGAGTACTTATTTATTCTCACCATTGTCTACCGAGTTAATTCACTTGCAAATTTTGCAGTTTCCTTCGGAAACCGAAATTATTCAGATAACAATATATGACCGGATTGCTACAATAAATGGTAACCAAGAAAGCAAGGATGGATGCACAAATGTATCTATCTACTACTGGTTGACTGGGATGTGTTGTACTCCAATAACATCAACCAGTAGTGAAGGATAGCCAGAAAGAATTGATCATAACACCAAACAGCCACTTTGATAGTCTTTTGCCTAGCTTATTTGATGTGTGCTCGGTTCGGCTCAGCTGGGATATATACACAGGACCGTTGTTAAGCCCAGTACAAGATTTCACAAGGCACTCCCTTTTCTCACTGAATAACGTTCCTAATTTGATGCGCATACAGAAAATTAGGTTATAATATAAAATCTATATTTTCACTCAAACTGATCTGTGCAAAACCTGAAGGAAATGAATAAGAATGCCAGAGAAAATATGTGCTATAACTACATGGGAAAAGGATTACAAAAAAGAGAAAATCATAACAAAAATATATTGATCACGGCGCTTATTTACACTTTTTGCAGATTTCTCGTAAAGCCCGACTCACTTCACTACAAATAGAGATAAGCGAATTTCGTGAATTTTAAAATGAATTTGTTTAATTGAATCAAATAGCTAAGGTTGTTTGGTGCGAATTAGTTGATAGTTGGAAAATGTGTAGGAGTTATCGTCGGAAATGAACCGGGATACATCAAATAGTCGTGAGTGAATGAATAAAATGCTTTTTATTTTTCGCTATGTCATATTTTCGATGTAACTTTACTTTTCACATTCAAACGAAGTTCATCTAAGAACAAGCTGGAAATGACAGTATTAATTTCTGTTTGTTTAGGGGAGAGATTCTAAGCAATCTTTTATTTTGTTTTTTAAAGATGCTATCGTGTCACTCTAAATATATAAGAGTCTTGCATGCTTCGTTGATAAATTGGTCACATATTGTCTCTAGCTTCAGGTGTGCGTTATGGAGGCTGTATTGTTATTCCTTAAGACTGACAAATACTCGAACCATTATATCGTGGGAAAACCAGAATATGAATATGGAGCAGGATACAAAATTTTAGGACTTTTTTATTTATGTATAAGCGCGATTCACTTGTACTATATTTCACGTATATGTTAATCAGGCTATTTAGAGGAGAACTTTAGCAACTGATGATGAAGATAATTCGCAGAGATTTGAAGAAACTGCACCACTCACTCTCCAAAGGCATTCTTCAAGCCAAAATTTTAGCCGATTTCGACACTCACAGTCTATTTCAGAAGATTAAGCGTGTTTGTTTCTACATATGACACAATGACTGTACAATTCACTTATTTGTCCTCCACGTGCTAGTGCGTTTGTTTGATATGACTTGACAAATGTTAGATATCCAGGATTTGCTAACATTTTGATGGTTTGAAATACTGCCTATATTCCTCAATAAGCAAAATAGGGGAGTGATATCCGCTCAATCGACTTGGGTCGTGCATGACAACTTAGGATGTCAGACAGCGAGAAAATTTGGTCACGTAACTTCGTCTCAAAATATCGAAAGTGAAAGTGAGAATATAACATTATGAGAAGGTTAATGATTTTTTATTATGGGTAACTGTGAACAGTGTAGTTCACTAATATTTACTCATTATGATACTAGCCATTTATTTCTTGCAGCCTGTGTGTAAAGATAATTTTCAGATGTGACAAGTCAAATAGATCTGATTTCCTTATCATAAACTTCTTCACTCGGGTAGAGAGATTCTGAAAAAGGAAAGGCATAAGTTAATTATTATTATGAATTCACTATCACTCATGTTTATTACTACAGACTGACACAATATACAAAACGACTGAAGTGCAAACACGAAGGACAGCATCAATATGACGCTCTACTGTAATCCCCCAGAGTAGTTGCACTTATACGGAAGCAAACCAGAAAACGTTGTCAAAAAGAATCCGGATCGGCGATTTAATCACTAATACTAAGATGTATATTTTTTGCATTTGTTACCGAATTAAGATATGTACTTAGTCTAGAAGCGAAAGAAAGTAGCCTCCCAAATTAAGATAGCGTGTATCTGGTTGCTTTTAGTCTAAGAAGTCACCTGAAAAGATACAGATAAGTTCCAGATGTTGCAATTCATTATAGCTGCCAGTTTTTGTCGTCTCTAGAGTAGACGTGATATCCGACTATCAACCAAAGGGCGTGTGTACTGCTCAGCAGTCCGCCCCGTCCTCCTTTATGGCTGTGAGACCTGGCCATTGAGAGCGGAAGACATGAAAAGATTAGCTGTCTTTGATCATAGGTGCCTGCGTTCTATCTCCCGCGTGAAGTGGTATGATATGGTGAGAAATATTGAGGTTAGGCGTCGAATGCTAGGTAAGGCGGGGAAATCAGTCGACGAGACTGTGAAATTACATCGACTGAGATGGTTGGGACATGTGTTACGTATACCTAGTCATCGCCTTCCTCGACAGGCAATGTTAGCTGATATTGGGCCAGACTGGAAAAGAGCTAGCGGCGGTCAAACGAAAACATGGCACCAGTCAATGAAATCTACAACAGTTAGTCTAAGCCACATAGGAAGGTGTAGACTTGCTGGTTGGGGTCCTCGGGACGGTAAAAACCAATGGCTGGAAACAATTGGTGACATGGCTCAAAATCGTTGTCAGTGGCGCAGATGCATCCACTCCTTGTGACTTATGATTTCCAATGAAACTGTTTTGTTCTTCGTTATTACTATTCCTTTGTCTCACACCTCTGTTTACTGTCTCTATTATGCATTTCTCCTACTTTCTTCTCTTGCTTTGTGTGCTACATGGAGTATGGCGACATGAACTGCCTCATATATGTGCAAAGTTCCTATGTCGAAAACAGACAGACAGACTTATTACTAAAATTATTTCAAGCAACTGTTTTAAGAAATCTTTTATCCTCAGAAACGCCTAACATTTATCCAGATTATGTTATGCTACAAGAATGGAAGTTTATCACACACTAATACTCAAGTTCTTATTCCGTACCTTATAAGGTAACTTTTTACTCTAGGTGTCCTATCATGAAACTTATTCTGTGAGCACTAGTGTGAAAAAAATTTTGATGGTGTAAAATCTAGTGGAAAATGATTCTTTAAAATAAAAAACGTCTTTTAAAAATAAAAAGGATCCAATCTTCTCGGTGAATTAAAATTATCTGCCGAGCACAACTGAATTTCTTAAGCATGTGGTTAGTTAGAAAATCTTCACTTTAAGATGTGTATTGTGAAACTCGCTTCTCCTAAACCCGAGTAATAAACTTGTTATGTCATCCGTTATTCTTGAAACGCTTTCCAAAAGTTTGTTTTAAAATATTTAATGCCGGAGAGATCTATGAATATTTCAAATTAATTTCAGAATTTTGGATTGGTACCCATTAAAGTGAATACAAATTACTTCCCCTTTGTTTCGTTTATACTAAAGTTTCAGACTGATAGTTCTACATCGAGGTGTGTGAAGGCCTTACTTTTTCATTAGTTTTTGAGGCAGCTTTAGTTGAAAAGATGTTTTAATTAACTTTAGAAACCTTTGATTAATGTTACGTCAGATTTTCACTGAGCATCCTTCAAAAGCTTTATCAAAGGCTGCAGAAATCTACAATTGAACATACTGCATTTCATTTTGAAAACTACTCTATTTATTCAAAATGCTTCCTTTTAATATACGTTTTTTCACTTTGACGAACGTTTATTGAGAAAAAATACTCTCGAAAGTCTTTTTTAAGGAATTTTTGTACTATGACTCACAAAACGATCGTCATGGTTTACTAATGAGTCGATTTGTAAGTCATTAGGATTTCATTTGTTTTAATATTGGAAATACAGCCTAAAAATTTGTCTTTTGTATGAGTTCACTACACACACTTTTCAAATTGTTTAATGCCAACGTTAGCACAGATATGTACACGGGAGAGGGTGTTTTTGATACGGCGTAAATGACAGTAAAAAATCAAAAGCTGTCCGTCTGTTATTGGAATAATTTGCGAGAAGGTATAGAACTTTACAAAATCAATCCTACTAGTCTTAAGTACTCGAAGAATAATCCACAATGAGTCTGCAGCATAAGAAAAGTTCACTTCCTTTAATTCAATATTTATTTTCAAAGAATACATCAAATATTTTTTTTCCTTCACGTTCCCCAGTGGAACATAGGGCTTCAAGCTTGTGGCTTGAAGTTTCTGTAGCAGTGTTTATTTTACAGGATGGGGTTGCTAGCCTCATGCCCAACCTTTCCTCTTCACCAGTCTCATTACTGGCTTAGCGAGGTAAAGGAGTGCGTCGGCCAGGGATCGAACCCAGGACCATGTGCATGGTCGGTGAGCATCCTTACCGCTATGCCACGGACGCACACATCAAACACTTAGTTTCTTAAATTTCAGTGTTGGAATTTGCGTTTATGCACCCACGAATAAGTTGGTAACAACAATTTTCATAATATATATTCACACCTATTTAAATGGGTGGAAAAAGTGATGTAGGGTGAAGTAATCAACTTTTGTAAGTTTGTCTATTGTTTGGGTTTTTAGCAGGGAAGAGGTATATCACAGGATATCTCGTTTTTATGTATAAATTTAGGCGTGTGGAAAATTCTCAGGTGTTCTATATTGAACTTTCTGCGAATTTTGTGCAGCAAGTTTGTTTTCAAAATCACTTCCTTATGCCAATTGTTAAAGTTAAATTGGATTCAGTTTTAAAAACGTTAAAGTAACCGCATATAGAAACAAAATGGGTCTTATAAAGCTGTGACTGCTAACCAAAACCAAATAGGCCAGTGCAGGTTGTCTGGGTAGGGTCCCTTACGTATCAAAATCACTCAGTGGGGAAGTTGACTGTTTTGACCTAGGAACTGCTCACAATAGCTCAGAATCATTGATATTCCATTATTTTCTATAAAATTAAAAATTTTTTATTTAATTCCGTCTCACTATTCTTACTCATCTGATGGACTTGTAGCCATTTAGTGTAAGGTTTCTAACTTCTGTTCCCTTCACCTTTTTTCACTGGTTAAAGAAGACACAGCAACCATTAAATTCCAAGTGTCTGTATTTATTTACACCTCTGTATATGAAAACAGTAGTAGATAGAAAGATTATTAAAAACATCGAACGGCTTTATAAAAGTTAGTTGATCAGTAAATCAATGACGTCATGTAAAACTGAAATCGTTAAATCTGAGTAGCCTAATTTAATCTGAACTTCACTAAAAATTGCCCCAATTACAGTCAAAGAAAGTGGTGAATAAGGAAACTTCAAGCATGCCCAAGTAAAACTGGTGACATTCAGTCTAAGATCTAAAACTTGTTTTCCCTCAAAAGTGTACCCACCTACTTACCATACGTTAAAATCGTTTTTGTAATAAACATTTTTCAAAATGCGAACAGACATCCCTTCTTTCTTAAAATTAAATAATATCGTTTCAGTTGATAAAATCAGTGGTGATATTGGTGTCCCTGTGGTTGTCACTTTCTACTTATTCGATTTTTAAGCTCCATTTTATATTTTGTATTTTGTTGAACACTCATACCTGTTTGCAGTATAAACAAGTATTTGTTTTTTATAGGTAATAGTGGTTAAACTATCAATCAAACACTATTATCAAAATTTTTTACCATTGTTTGATGATCTACAAGTGAAAATACAACTGTCAGTAGTGAATTATAATAACCGTAGGATTAAAGCATTAATTGAAA